TATAATGCAACAACCTTCAAAAACCATGTTAGGGCCATTTGTTTGATCCAAATTTTATAATATACTCTTTCCATTCTTATGAAAAATCACAAAAAAGAAAAATTTTAAAACACAACCTAGAAGTATTTTTTTAGCCCAATTAACATAGGTTGTCCATTTTGATGAGATGCTTAGATCTAGGCCTTAGAATGATCTTTTTTCTTTCCAAAATTTTTGATAACTTTATCATCATTAGATTAACAATATTTAGAAAGAAAAACATGATTTTGAATTCATAAAGGCCTAGATCTTGAAATTCATCAATGGACGGTCTAGTTTCATTATTGGAGGGGACTCATTTTGACCATATATAGGGTGCAAATTAGTGTTTGTTTTTTTTTTAGTTTGACTATTAAGATGAAGAGAGTGTGTCCAAAATTTTGGGTCATACAGAAACCCACAAACATGATTTTCTAGAAGTATGGTTGCATTATACTATGATACAACCGTTGCATGAAAGCACTACCCATATATTTATAGGTGAATATATAGGACGACAAACTCAAAATATTCACATGCGTGCTGGGATCCCTAAGGAATCCCTTGTGCCATCATCATAAAAGCACACGACAATGTCTGATGGCAAAACAAAATGGCCTAGAATTCTAACAGTTGTAAGGGGACAGCATTGAAAGAGGCTCCATTATCAATCAGGATTTCCAGATCATCTTTGTCAACTATGATGTACAGGGGCTCTACATGCTAAGTTTATACTTCAACCAAATCGTCCTTATATATGTGTGTGTGTGTGTGTGTATATATATATATATATATATATATATTTATAGATATGGAAAAACCTAAAAATGCCTATAGGCGAAATGCTACAGTGTTTCACCATCGCCACAAACTTGCTATATTCGTGGCGGTTTATTGAATGGACCCACAACAGACGACGCAACGTTCGTTGCGGTTCCATGTGATTTTTTTACCGCTACAGACCTAGTATGTCCATGACGGTATCGCCACAGACATGCTAGGTCCGTGGCGGTCAAAAAATGCATGCCGGCCGATTTTTTCGGACGGCGATTTGACCTATGGGCGAATTCACTATATCATTTCGCCCATAGGTGTTGCGTAGATGCTTCATATATATATATATATTACAACAACTCCTTCAGGCGAATGTGTTACTTAGGATGAATCTTTTTTATCCAAAATTTTAGGATCCATCTAAGTATCATCATATGATTATCTTCATGAAAAAAAATCGGATTTAAGTTCTTAAGAACCTAGTTGTTGGTCTCTAAGAATTGGATGGTTCTTGTTCAATCTTGGGATATTAACTTTTTTGAGACGTTAGTCTTATTTAATTTTTTTTTCTTTAAGGTTCGTTATTAGTGCTACATCCCCAAAACTTGGGGCTCAAAAACATATTACTAATATGAATTTTGCCCGAAGGGAGCAAACTGTGCATTTGCTCCCACGGGGTGGTAGGCAAACTTATATATATGAATGATTTCATGTCATAGTGTCATTGTAATATAATGAAACCACACATCTAGAAAACCATCTTTTCGGCATTTGTATGACCCCCAGATTTTCCATAGGCTCTCTTAATCTCAACAATCACTCGCAAAAATAAATAAAAATAATAAATAAATTTGCACCTTACATATGGACAAAATGAGGCCCTGTCCAAACAATGACTTGGACCGTCCATTTGGTTAATTCTAAAATATAGGCTTTTAGGAACTCAATCAGTTTTTTCTTTTTTAGCATTATTTATTTAATGGTAACAAAACCATCTACATAATTTGGAAAAGGATAAAGTTCCTTCGAAGGCCTAGATATAAGCATCTTACCCAATGGATGCCCTACATTAAGTAGGTTAAAAAAATACTTTTTAGGGTACATCTTTAAGTTTTGTATGTGATTGTTCAATATATATATAGGGAAAAGATCCTATCAGCCCACCAGCTAATAGAATAGTGTAAGCCTAATGGCCCAAATTGCATCTGGGCTGATCTGATGGTCATGATTGTATTTCATATTTGAATTTTAATCTTTTTTCTAAAAATCCTAATGACTTGAAATTTGATATATATATATATATATATATATATTGATAGTGAGTGAGAGAGAGAGAGAGAGTCTTCCTAATGCAATTTGACATTTTCATAGAGACGAGGCCGTGCTGGGCGTGTGCAGCCTGGAGTTTGTTATCGTCTTTACCCGAGGATCATTTATGATGCGATGCCCCAATATCAGTTGCCTGAAATTCTTCGAACACTATTACAGGAGTTATGCCTTAACATAAAAAGTTTACAGCTTGGGAACATTGCGTCTTTCTTGGCCAAGGCCCTGCAGCCCCCTGATCCTCTTTCTGTTCAAAATGCTATTGATCTTTTGAAGATAATAGGAGCTTTGGATGATACGGAGGAGCTAACCCCTCTAGGTATGTGGCTATGTGCAGAAAATAATACGAGTATCATGGTTGAAGGATTCAATGATGTCTTTTGCTTCATCTTCTTTTCCTTTGTTCTTTGATCTGAAATTCTCTGTGATTCTACTGATAGGTCATCATCTTTGCTCCTTGCCTGTGGATCCTAATATTGGAAAAATGCTTCTTTTGGCATCCATCTTTCAATGTCTGGATCCTGCATTAACAATTGCAGCGGCTCTTGCACACCGTGACCCATTTGTCCTTCCACTCAACAGGAAAGAAGAAGCTGATGAGGCAAAAAGATCATTTGCTGGAGATTCATACAGGTTTCTACTAATTCGTGATCCTGGTTACTTTTCGGGAGAATCAGAGAATATCTAATCAAAATTCACTTATCATTTTTAAATTGTAGTGTCCATATCATATGTAACTATTGTTATGACCTTCAACTACTTGAGTTGCTAACTATTAGGATACAAAAGACTGACACAAACTACACAGTTGCACCTCAACTAAGTAGAGCAAAGAACTAATTAATTTTGACTTCACGTACAATATAACTAATTTTGACTGTTTGTCATGCGGTTTGCATACGGCTGATTGCTTTTTATGCAATAGTGGTGCATTAATCTGGAAAATTAATCAAATGCCAGATCTTCAATGGAAACTATTTTCAAGTTCTCTGAGGCGGTCTTATGGGTGCATCTTAATGCCTCAGCTTGAGGCTGCGATTACTAGAGAGAAGGAAGTTTGTAGTTTTTCATACGAGTAGAGAGAATGCCTGGAAAGGTGGGGACAGAAAAAGAGAGGATGGCAAAGAAGGGTGACCGTTATTAGAAATTACTCAGGATGTCATCTTTGGGGATGAGAATAGATTCCTGAGCAATGGAGCGAGAACCTCTTTGGGCTGTGTTGTATATTATGTAGTAGGAAGAAAAATGGAGGAAATTACAGCCACCAAGTCACAACACACCAAAAAAGGACTAGAAAGCACATGAATTATGACTGGCAATATGATTAACTATAGCTTTTTTATATAGGTCTCCCTCTCCCAATAAATTCAAGTGCCTCAATGCCGGTGACTTATCCTTAACCAGCCATGTTTCTAGGGCCTCGTTGTCTCAAAAATTCCTGCCCTCTGATCCTTTGCCAATCACAATTCTGTTCAGGCCATAAATTTTGCCCCTTTGTTGAACAAACGTATTCGTCTATCCAAAGAAAAATGTCATCATCATCATCATCCAAACCTTATCCCAATTCATTGGGGTTGGCTATCCAAGGAAAAATGTCATTCCATTTTCTTTCCCATCCCCTGCTAGCTGATTTTCTTGCTATGCCCCGCAAAGGAAATTATGTTGCTCCTGCAGCAGTAAAAAACACAGGAAGCAGTAAATAAATTTAAGTGTGCTCCAAGAGAGTAACCCAAAAGATAACCAAAAAAAAGTATTGTGTGCGAGACGAGCAAACAAAGGGCAGGGGAATAAACTGTAGAGCATCATAAAGTGGGCTAAGTATTCTTGATAAGGCAGTATGCTGTGTTATATCATGGCAATGATTGGGATAGATGTATTATACCATAAATTGTATCCTTATAGATTGACAGTTTTCCATAATGTGTTATGGGAAAGGTTTCCATACTTTCCCTACAGCATAGAAGATCTATGCTTCCCCTACCATCCAGCCGTCCAATTTTGATCAAGAGAGCCACTCACCGTTTGATCTTAGATCCGACGTCTCAAAGTATTTTTTTTTTAATTTTTTTTTATAAAAATTGTATGAATATGAAATTCGGTACTGCCATCTTCTCATTGGGGAGCACCTATGAAAACAATTTAAAAAACATTTTCGATAAAATATTGACCAAAATACCCCTTAAAACTTTCAGGGGTATTTTGGTCATTTTATTTTATTGGACATATTTTTTATATATTTTTGGCTAGTGCGCGTACAAATTTTGGTCTCAAAAATAGTTTATAGAAAAAATATTAAAAATAAAATAGTGTAGAGATGTGACATTGTGATTGGGGCAATCTTGGCCCTCCATTCAGAATGGACGGTTGGATAAGGGGAAGTATATAAGTTTCATGTTGTAGGGGAAGCATAGAAAGCTTGCCCATGTGTTATATAGTTCATGAATATATAAAATTAAGATGAAAAATGTAGAGATGACAAACTCTATGATGTTGAGACCACAATCTCTTTTGCAGTGACCACATTGCGCTCCTTAGGGCATTTGAGGCATGGCAGCATGCCAAGCGTAATGGCAGGGAAAGGCAGTTCTGTTGGGAGAATTTCTTATCCCCCATAACCTTGCAGATGATGGAGGATATGAGAAACCAATTTTGTCGTCTACTCTCAGATATTGGCTTCCTTAACAAAGGAAGAGGACTCAAGGTAGATTCTTTTCTTCTTTCTTTTTGTTATGAACATTCTATTAGTCTAGGAAAGGCTGGTACGTGGTCCATGCATTATCTACTGCATATATTGCATAGATGGCGTGTGCTCAAATGGCTTGGGGACACTTTATGTGAATAAAACAAATAAGTCCTACTGGCATCCTCCTACAGTCTTGCTCCTGTTTGCATGCAAACCATAAATGCAGGATTGCAATGCAGAAATTGAAATCACCAGATCTCTCTCTCTCTCTCGAGGATACAATTCTCTTGTTTTTGTAGGAATACAATGTCTACAGTGAGGACGTGGAGATGGTGTGCGCCATACTATGTGCAGGCCTTTACCCCAATGTCCTGCAGTGTAAGAGAAGAGGAAAGAGGACGGCATTCTACAGTAAAGAGGTGGGCCAGGTAGATATGCACCCATCTTCTGTCAATGCTGTGGTTCACCAATTCCCTCTCCCTTACATGGTCTACAGTGAGAAGGTCAAAACATCCAGCATATATATCAGGGACTCGACCAACATATCCGACTATGCTTTGCTCCTTTTTGGTGGAATCTTTTGGCAAGCCAAACTGGAGAAGGCATAGAGATGCTTGGAGGTTACCTTCATTTCTCAGCTTCCAAGAGTGTGTTGCAACTGATACAGGTTTGATTTCTTGGTCAATTAGACTTCATTTTTTCTATTTGTTGCCTTTACACCCTGCTCTGATTTACTGGAAATGGGTGTCTCAGAAATTGAGATGGGAACTTGACAAGCTTCTTCAGAGGAAGATTGAAGATCCTGAGCTGGACATTCCATCTGAGGGCAAAGGGGTTGTGGCTGCTGCTATTGAATTACTGAACAACCCAAATGTGAAGCAACACACAAATCGCAGGGGTAGAAGTTGAACAAACTGATCAATCCATCTTTTTCAATTCAAGCATTACCACTGAATCCAAACATCTATAGTCATGCCTTCGGCTGCCGGAATAGTCTTTTCATGCCATCTTAATTGATCTTTTGTCTTAGAATTTTTATTTCTTTTCAGGAACCAAAGATAATTGTCCCCCAGTATTTTTCTATCGCCATAAATTTAAACTTGTGATATCATGTGGGTATATTCTCAGAACTGAATATTAATATATAAGAGTTATTTCTTCTTATATTTCTGTGCTTCCTTCCTGTATTTAGGATTGTGTGTTACATGGTTGCTTGCATGTGATATTTCCCTTTCAGTGTTTGTATATGATGTGTTGCTGTGACCATTGTTTGTCAAAATCAGGTCCTACAGGGGTTGAGGTCCATCAACGGTTGAAGCTTGTCCAAGGTTTGAATAGTAACTAACGTACCTTCCCACACGGACTCAATTGTTTTGCATTCAGGAGGAACCGGAGGCCATTGCTTCAATTTCTTGCCTGTTGCCAGCAACCTAGAGAAAGAGTGGCGTTTAGTGAGAACTTCCACCATGCTTTTACTGCCTTCCATCAACAAAAGCAAGACAAACCTTCATGGCAAATGATTGTCCACCGTGTAAGCTTGATGACAAATTTTACACTTAGCCAAGTCTTGCCAAAACCGTGCCAATAGTTAGTCCTTGGAGTCCTTTGCTTGTTGGCAGAGCACCAAAATTAGTGTTACATGGACACCAACACGAGTGTTATATCTAGTTACGAGTGTCAAAGTATCTAGAATGCTGACCCAAAAACCCGGCTCCGACACATCCGTACATTTATATACACGCACACATAAAACATCTTTATAGACATCCATACATTCATACACATGCATACATATAACATCTTTGATACTTGCATTAGTACATCACTTCATTTCAAATTATTTTGGTTGAATAATTAATTTCAAACTTGACGTACACAAATTCAAATTTCATGATTTATATTTTGGATTATAAATTAGTTTTTAATAAATAAATTAAAGAATTTGTTATGAAAGATGGTATTTTATTTAATTCATATGCACTCATAAAATATTACAATAAAATATATTCATAAGGATATGCATATGATAATTATAGTAATATATTAAGAAAAATCTTATTTGTATTAAGAGGCATGCATAAAGATATGCACGCCCTTTATTGTTACTTTCTAATTATTGCTTTCTAGATAATAAATGCACCATTAGACATTTATGGCATTTGATTTTAGATACAGTTAATAAACATATAAGTAATATACATTTGAATAGTATGCTACACCTAAGTGATAACAAATGGTGGGCATCAACCTCATAGTTATACTACTTGGGAGTTGACCCATCAGTAACGATTCCCAGGGCTCCTTTGTAAATCTACCCCTTCCTCTAAAAGCCATTCATTGTGTTATCAGCATGGTTTCATCCTTATCTCGGTCATTCGATATTGTAACAACCGTTTTTTGGGGATATCTTTCGGGTATATCGAATAAGATTCTGGCCCAATTCAGCAATCATCTGCATGCCGTTTTCATCTGCTTTCAACCATGCACATCAGGGCTTTAATTTCTGAGGTCCTCTATCATCCAAAATGAGGATCCTGCCAAATAACATAATGCCCTTGATTTAGGCTTAGCAACACTTTTCGTTGTAAACACTTGTTCCCCTAAACAACCAAGGGTACTATAGTTACCTATCCGGGTCACTGAACTGGAGCTAAGTCACCAAATGCCCCTGCTTTCATAGATTCCCAATTCAAAAAAATTTATTATTTTTTAGCTATATTTTAGACCCTATCCGTTACGAAATTACTTTTGGTAGTTCAGTGGGGATGGGGCCACCTACTCATGATGCAAATAGAACTTTATACATTATGTGGAGACTATGACCACCTAGTCTTAAGCCTATTCCCAAAAGTATAATAAAATGACATCACGACTTTTTTGAGATGGATGAGTGGCAAGGCAATAAGAGATAGAATTCGATATGAATCCATTAGAAAAAAATTAGGTATGGCACCATTAGGTGATAAGATGAGAGAGTAAACTTAAGTGGGCTGATCATATGTAGCGTAGACCCAATACAACACTTATTAAGAGGTACGAGTTAGTTCAAGTAAAGGGCTAAAAAATGGGAGGCTAAAAGGACATGGTTGGAAGTAATGAGAAATGATATGGGAACCTATAACGATATTGAAGATATAACCCTTAATAGAGCAGAATGACAGAATATGATTTATGTAGTTGACTCCAATTTGGAAAAAGGCTATGATGATGATATCATGAAGTTTAAAACAAAAATAGGACCAATTGTTCAATGCAGAAGCTATTACATGATCACAACCCTATGCATGTTGTCATGTACAAGGACAACCCAGAATATGGCGTTAGTACATCTTGGTCTATCCATTTATATAAGGTAAGGCACATGGTATTGTGGTCGGCCCCAAAGCCACACCCTTTCTGTTACGAATGTGGTTTTGGTAGGGCTCCAACTTTACAATGATTGGGAAAGTCACGCTCCAAAATCGTGTTGAGAAAACTAGTTCTGGTACCTAAAAACCACCTCGTTGTGGCCTGCATATGCATTTCAGGTTGAAATTATTGAATTGAAAACTCCAAAATTGTTAAAATCATATTGATTTGAGAACAAATTGGAAAGTCCAAAAATGGTGCAAATCAGGCTGATATCTGAACGCCTGAAATAAAAATCCATTAAAAGTGTTGCAAAGAGGGGGCCATTTCGCTTAAAATCCATTACTGATGAGATGGTTGGTTTGCAGTTTTTCAGGAGACATAATTGCATTTTTTAGAGAGATTTGAGATATCATTTTATAAAGTCCCGACTTTATTAAAGGGAAAAGGTTAAATGTAGCCCCATTCAAATGTGTTTGCTTTCCAAAAATCCATATAAGAGATGAATTCAGGGTATGAAACACAACCCTAAGTCAATGTAGATGCTTTTTGTTTATGATATAAGATTTTGCAGTTCTAACAATAGTGCTAATTAAAATGATTTGCGAATAATTAAAATGAAATATGATAAACAGTACAAAAACAAAGTTTAAAACAACCAATTATTTAAGGTTCAAAATCCTTCTTCTTTTTCCACATCATGATCGTGGCTGTCGAAATCATGTAAAATTTTGAATAAAAAAATCATCTCTAAGATGAATTTTTTGAAGGAATTGAGATTTTAATTGGTGTGTGAGCTGATACACCAGAACCTTGTACTTTTGGAAAAGCTATTTTCTTCAAGATGCATGTGCTATTATTGTAAATGATCAATGCTCCCCCGTTGGCTAAATCATCATTCAGGAGTATTTTATGGTCACAAATTCTGGATATAACATGCTCAGCTGTGGGATCGAAACAGAGACCATCTAATTTTTGGACTGACGGATCCAAGTATTCAATGATTCCAAATACAATTTTGTAGAAAACGCATTGGAGAATCAAAATTTCATATAAAAAAAGTGAATAAGCTTAGAAATGTATACTACGTTCCTGCAGGAGAACATTGAGGATCTACTTCCTCGGTTCAAAGACCTACTTGGGAGGATTTTTTTCATCTAAAATTTTGGAAACCACCTAAGAATCACTAGATAATGATTTCAAAATTTACATTTTGAGTTTTTCAACACTTGGATGTTGCCTTAAAAAATTAGACAACCCATGTTCAATCTTGAGATTGTTTTTATTTTAGTACAAAGAGTTCAACTCATAATATTTATTTTTTTAATGGGTTGAAAGAGGTTGCATCCCTAAAATTTGACGTTCCGAAATAACTCACGTATTAAGTTCTATCCAAGGGAATCATTGGACATTGTACTTCCGAAGGTGTAGAAAATCTTTTCGCATAAGATTATTAGTGTTAGAGGAGTACGCTGATTTGGCCAAGTTGAGTCAAAACAACAGGTTGACTGAGATCCATCGAATCCCATGAGTGTCCTGGTTTCTGTACTTGCCCTCTGTCTTTTGTTGAGGTTGTACGCCCATGGAGGCCAAATAAGACACAGGCCCAACAAGGCGGATTTCCAATTTTGAAACATTCGATTTGATTAATCCGATCATTGCACAAGTTGATATTGAAAAAGTATATATAAGGATGCAACCATATAATGTAGAACTACGGATGCACCTCAAAAATCCATCGGGAAAGGTAGTTTTAATGTTGAAAAACCCTTTGATTGATCATCTCGACATCGAAATGTATGATTATGAAAATTAAAAAGATTTTAAGTTTCAGAAATAGTGCATTTTACAGCACATTATCTACACCGTCCATTTTCAAGATTTTCATATGTTTATAGACCTACTTGATTTTAACTATTTTTAAAATTAAAATTTTATAATTAGATATAAAAATAGATTTTGAGATAATCCTAAAAGCATTTTACATCAAAATTACATACCATGATAAAATTTGAAGGTGCACCTTATCTCTACAGCTAGGATACATCCCTATGCCAACTGCAACCATATATAAAACACGGGTTCGGTGGTCATGTATTGATCAAGAAATATGTTAACAGGATCGGTTTGGCTCGTGGGAGAAACTTTATAAAAATTATAGGCTTGGAGTGGAAAGTTACTTGCCCTCATCATACATGGCAATGAGGGATTATCTAAACCATATGTTATAAGGTTGAGCAATGTTAATAGATATTCTAATATGTTTGGATTATCTAAACCATATGTTATAAGGTTGAGGAATGTTAATAGATATTCTAATATGTTTGAGTAATAATAATAGCAACATGATTTTATGGTCCCTCAACAATATGATCTTTCATCTAAAAGTTAAATATAGGATTTTTTAAAATTCAGAATTTAACACTTTTCTAAAATACTCATCTACTTGATCAAATTTATGAATAAATTCTTAAATTTTGCATCTATAAAATACTATTAAATGGGGATTAAGCGTCTAGTCTGCTCCCAAGACAACATGTGGACCATATGCGAACTTTGGTTAATATTTTTATGAGCCACATCTCCACAGCAACAAATGCTCTAAAAAGTGAATATTTATTTTTTTTCAAAACAACGAATCTTTATATGAAAATACAATGTAACATTTTATCATTTTCATAAATATTTTTTAAATTTTATGAACTATTAACAAGAGCACCTTACTGGAAAAAGTTTGAATTGGATAATGTAACAACTAATTTAATTTATATAAATTCATATTATTTCCTAACGTTTATTTTAATAGTTATAAATTT